GGACCAAAATGCTCTGGAAGACAATAGGTTGACCATAAACAAGCCATGGCAATAGTGTGCAAGCAGGCCAATAGCAAACTTTTTCAACCTATGGCCCATCACTCATTGAGCTGGCAGTGAGGCTTGGCTGATTTGCCACTCCATCAGCTCCCTACTGCTGTTACGGCTCAGCCCAACCAAGCAGCTCAGCCTGGCCGGAATGCAACCATCACTCAACAACAGCTAAACAATTGTGCATTATTAACACTGTCTGAGCTGAAAACAGAACACAAGGAAGGCACAGTGTAGTGCCAGATAAATTTGTAGCGAATAACTGCATGCATTTTGATTAATTGGCTAAACACAGTCCTGTGGACATCAAAAAAGAAAAAAAAAAAAGCAGCCATGCTTTCCATTTTGATAAGGAATTTAAGAACAGATTTCATCTTTTCTTGTATATTTGCAACTCCTCTTTCTCTTGACATGAATAGATTACCTGAGAATTTTCAAATGAAGCACATAGAGTTGCAATCAGACATTGAACTTAAAAACCTCACAATGTTTCTTTACTTTTATATACCCATTTTATCAGAGGAAAACATTCTTCACTTCACAATCACTTTTATCATTTCTTGGTAGTACACACAATTGTGAACAACTACTTTCATGGATGAAGTACAGCTTGAGTAAAATTTCATCATAAATCTCTGATGAACACTTTGAGAACTCACTGAGATTGCAACCTCATTAAACTGAATTTTGATGCATTAATTTCACAAAAACAAGGTCACATATCCCACTCACTGCTTTTTTTTTTTTTTTGCTCTCTTTTTTTTTAAATAAAGATACTAAATATCAGAAGAAGTTTTGTTACTTACATGCATTAATTATATATTTTATGAAGAAAATAATATAATAAATAATATATTTTATGAAGGAAAAACTTGTTCTCTCAGAGAGTGGTCAGGCGCTGGAATGGCCTGCCCAGGGAGGTGTTGGAGTCACCATTCCTGGCGGTATTTAAGAGGTGTCTGGGTGAGGTGCTACGAGATATGGTTTAGTAGCTTGCGGTAGAAATGGTAATGGGAGGACGGTTGGACTAGATGATCTTGTAGTCTTTTCCAACCTTATGATTCTATGAAGGTTGCTCCAAAAATAATGCCTTTTTTAATTTTATTGGCCCATTATATCGGAAGCTGTTGTAGTAGAATGGAAACAACGGTTAAATCTTCCCACCTTCTGTTATATTTTGTTGTCATGCTTCAGATGACACCACAGTAACAGATGGCAATCTGACAGAAGGGTATCTGACATGGAAGTTTTTATGAAGAAAAGAAGCATTACTGTATTCCGTTATGAAAAAAAAAAAAAAATCCATCAGCATTTATTGGCACTTGCTGATGGCTGATGGTGACCAAACAGTGGACTGGGGCCACAGTGAAGTAGTGGGCAATATATTACAGTAGTAGCAACTACAGGTCACCTCCGTTAGTGTATATTTTTATGAGCATAGCATGCAAACTCATATCCATTGCTGGTGAAAATGCATAGCTAATGGTGGTGATTATGTTGAAAAACAGTGTTTTGTAGCTGACAATTTTCCTCTATCAAATGGTGTTATTGTTCTCTTTGTATCAGCTGTAGTTTCCACAGAAATAAAGAGGAGGCATTACTTTTGGAAAGATGCATATGGCCCAAGATAATTCCTGTTCATTCTGTGTGGCCCAGACAAGCCAAAGTCTTGGGCACCCATGCCAATGGTATTCCAGGGTGCATTAAAAATATGGTCAGCAAGTCAAGGGAGGTTCTTTTTCTTTGTACCACCCTGCTGAGGATACATCTGGAGTACTATGTCCTGTTCTGAGAGTTAAGAAATCCAGAACTATGGCTGCAGTAAACTAGAGACTGGAACTTTGGTTTTCCAGTCTGAATAATTCCCTTCAGAAGTAATTCTTGGCTATTTTATGCTGGTCAAGTTTTTAGTCAAAAATAAACTCTTGAGAAATGTTTTCCACATATACCATACATAGATTATATTATATATATATATATAAAATAGATTATATTATATATATATATAAAATAAAGAAGAATTATCCTTCAGCTTTCCAACCAGAAACTATTTGATGAAAACCTCCTGTCAGAACTAGAAACCAAGTCTAAACAGGAGAAGCAAAATGTATCATCAGCATTTCCAAGAAGTTTATCCTCATTTGATACCTTTAAGATATCTATAATAACATTTGTATTTAACAAAGAAAATAAAAAACAAGGAATAAAAGTTGAAATACACAGCTACAGTTTATAGAAGACACCCATATTACTTTGCAAATTATTGGAAAGTGTCCAGACATTCTTGTACCCTCACAGTTATATCTTATTAACACTGAATTCAGTGGTCCCAGAAATTTCAATTTACCAGCTCAGCTCTGAGGAACAAAGTAATAAAACAGGAGTTGAGAGGATAAAGACAAACAAATTGAAATAAACAGGAAAAAACAAACAAACAAAAAAGGATGTTTTGAGAAACTGCATTAAAATCAGCTGTAAAATTCTTCAGAATCAAGAGGTCCTGTCATACTCATCAATATATTCCTAGATACTGCAAAAACAGCTTGCCCACAAGGAAACAAACATGCATCTTCCACAGAAACTGTCTTTGACAGCCCCTCTCAGCTGCTCCTCATACTGTGCCCTGCTCCAGCTGGGGCCATCCCACTAGCTGAGGGAAAGCCCTGTGCAAGCACAACTTCCTAATGGCCACTACCCAGTAATAGGACATGAGGGAATAATTTTAAATTAAAAAAAGAGAAAAGTTTAGATTGGACATCAGAGGGAGATTTTCCACTGAGAGTATGCTGAGACACTGTTCATTTATAGTTCTTTCCTTCTGACTAAGGTATATCTGCTAGAATAACCACTTTTGCTAACTATTCCATTAACTTATTTCCATCACTTCCACACAGTGTACAATGCCTTGGCCTATTTGTGCAATATCCAGAGAAAATGTTCCCTCACAGATTATGCAATGTACAGTGTAAGCAGTCATTTCATTTACATAATAACCACACTATTTAAATTTAACCCTTAAACTATCTATTTTCTTTTGAAATAAAGAGAAATCAAGTGAAAGAAACATCTTTTCGTCTTATACTTGCAATGGCAAATGGATGTAAACAATCAATGATATTTCCACTGCAGTGTTATGAACTTTTTCTGCCTACCTAGTGGAAATGATTCCACACAATACCAGACAAAGGAGTCTCAAGTTCCCTTATTCAGCACTCACAGAAAGTCTTAAGAAGGGCACCAAGATGTGTAAGAGACTGGTAGATTTCTGTGAGCACATGATCAAGAAATAATGCTTATTAGAAAAAAGATCGAAGTCAGGGAAACAGTGGGAAAAAAAGGAATTGTAAAAATCCAACTTCAACTATTTAAGCAAATAAATAAATACAAGGTTAATGTTTAGCTGGACTCTTATGTGCTCCATGTGTTTTGTGAAAATAATGACAGCTGAGAATGAGCTGAAAGTCAAACAGCTTCATCTCACATAGTTCCACAAGAATTTAGGAGTATATTTTCAAGTCAAGTAGAATAATGTAAGTAAAGATTCTGTCAGTATTGGTTCTTATAAGCAAGTTACGGAATTTCTTAACACGTAGTAGATAATACATTCAGCTAACAGAAGCAGTCTTTGGCACATGCCTCTAAGGCTGAAGTTTCCAAGAAAACAGAAATAAAACCACAAACAGCATTTTTAAGTAACAATTTCAAAAGAATAGGGACATTTCAGCATTATGTATGTGATAGCAGCCATATAGTTTGAACTCCATTCACTGCTTCTCTTAGAGGTCAGCCAGTTTTTCACCCAGCAAATTGTAAACCTTCTTACTCTATGGATAGCTTAAGCTGTAGGAGAAGGCTGTAGGAAACAGTGTCAAATGCTTTACTAAAATCCAGGTAGACAGTACTCAGCCTCTCTACAGCTCTTATATTATTAAACTCATAATAGAAGACCAAGTTAAGTCAGGTAGCATCTGCCTTTCATAAAACCTTACAGGCTGCATGAGTCATATGATGAAATTAACAGTGATCCGCTCCATAATCTTATCTAGTATCAAGGTCAGGTGGACAAGGCTGTAATTCCTTGGATCCTTTTTTGAGCCCTTCTTGTACACTGGAGTCATGTTTGCTAGCATCTAGTCCACTAGTACCTCCCCAGCCAGAGAGGAAGGCTGATTAATATTGAAAACAGCTTAGTGAGAATTTTTGCTAGCTCTTGTGGTATTCATTCTTGGATAGATCTCATCCAGCCCCATAGACTTATAAACACTCTCATGATGTAACAGACCCACAGAACCAAAGAGTGCTAGTCACTTACAGTTTCCAATTTGAAATCATCTCACTCTGTCACTGTCTTCCAGCTCAGGGCTTGGGTACTTTGAGAATAATTAGCCTAAATAATAATTAACAAGGCAAAAAGAATCATTGAGTACCTAGTGTGAGTGCAAGTGTCTGAATACTTCGTTATAGCATGAATCATTCTAGTCTTTTTGTTTGTTTGTTTTTAAGTGAGAGTCCTTACAATCAACAGCTGTGGCACAGAATTTTTTCTCTTAACACTGACTGCAAAAAGCTGTGACAACTGATGTAGAGTACAATACAAGCCAATGAGTTGTCAGTGAGACTTTTGTATCCACCTGCTTAATCTAAGTACAAAGGTCTGTGATGTGTGGTACCATTCATAGGAATAATAACATACAACATAGATTCCCTTTCTTATTAATTAATAATTCCTAGGAAGTAACATAAAACAGTTGTGTGGATTAACTAAATCAATTGCTGTTGAATGCCTGCCTTGTATTTGACTAATTTCTCAATTTAATAGTCAAGGAACTAGTCAAGGACTTGGCTCTGAGCTGTTTATAACAATGATCAGAAGTAAGAAAGTATCTTTAAGTTACTGGCTTTACAGTAAATCGCATAAATTGTTTTGTTCTTTAATGATAATTAAAAAAAAAGATACTTTCCACTGTATTTCAGAAGTTCAGTTATCTTGCTTACAAGTTTATTAGTACTGGGAAATCTTAAGCCACTGGAGTATTGATGTCATTCTCAAGCATAAATATACCGCAGTCTGAGTAATGGCATCTCTGTAACAATACAGGCACCCACATGTTTTTGAAAAGAGATTATAAACATTCAGATACAATGAATGAAGCATGATTACTTGCTTGAAAGAAAAAGAAATTAATCATCATTCACAGAACTTGAACAGTAATTCATAATGAAAACCATTTATCCAAGCATATAATTAGCTGAAGTGATGCAAATGAAATACTTTAAACAATATGAAGAATATAGATTCTAACAGTGACAAATGATACCCAAAGTTTTAAAAATAAGTTTACTTCTTAATAAAGATTTGGCTTCTTTCATTGATTTTTTTTATTTTAAGAATACATATTGAGAAGAGGGACTGATGGTAACCACCAATAACAATGCAACCTAGTTATAAATAGGTTACAAATAAAAAGAGCAGTAACAATAAATACTAGAGAAAAGAAGTAGGAGACTATTGTACTCCAGTGGACTTTTGTATTACATTAACTGTCTGTAGTGATGAGATGTTCTTGTGAAATCCAGTCCTGCACTAGTTGCCTGCATTAAAACCAGCAGCTACTAAGTAATGAATGGGCACTGTGTGATGCTCACCTCAGTCTTTGCCTTTCAGGCACTTCTTAATAGAGGATTTCCAGAAGCATATTACAATATCTGGGTTTCACTAGGAAGGAAAGAAGATAATCTGGCCTAATGTCAAATGACCTATAACCCCTCCTGTGTGAAGATTTCACTCACTGGGAGACTGTTTCAAAATATGTCCCTTGGTCTGTCTGAAGTTTAAAAGAAAAAAAAAAAAAAAAAAAAAAGGATTCTTGTTAGTGAGCAATTTCATTTGTTTAGAATTTACAATATATAAAGCATAGGTTACGACAAACTACTATTTTTTTTAGTAGAAATTTTGCAGTGGAAAATTGTCTGAAAAATAAGTGAGTACAAAACATACAATTTCACCATCAAGAAAGGAAGTAGTCAGTTTTTTTTCTAGCAGGTGAAAAAATTTCATTACTTTTATTTTCTGCCAGCAGGGAAAAAGTTCAATACTGATCATAAACCTTTGAGCATCATTTTGTCCCTTGGAAATAATTATTGGAAAAGCTCTTGAATTTGATGTTCCATTCTGATGAAAGAACTCCCAAGATTTCACAGCATACATGTCATTTATAAAGAAATTTTAAAGGACTTAAAAGTAATAATTCAAATTGTAAAAAAGCTTTCCAAGACCTCAATTTTGTTCACAGCCTTATTTACTTCTAACTAATTTGATTTCAATAAAGCATATAATTTCTGATCTTGGCAGGGAAAATAAAAAGGGCCTTCCAAGTTCCTCATTTCTTTCTGATTACGAGCACTATATAGATTTGATTTTCTTGGAAATCGTATTTTTTCCATATAATTAGACTATACATAAGATTCCTTTGTTAGCCATCTGTCTTAAACCTCTTGCTGTTTTCAAAATCAAGTCAGCGGAAACAAGGTTCCACTGACCGACTCTGGGAATAAAGATTTCCTTATTGAGTTACATACAGCTGTCTATTAGCAAAGATAAATGAAACCACCAGTGAAGTCAAGTAAAGACAATTGGTGCTGAATAATTATCTAAAGAAGAATGGGTGATTTTATTATTATTTTAATGTTAATACGCAATAATTGAACAGAGCAATGATATTAAGTATATTAGGCACACAGTGAACAGCTCTGAAATCTCTTGCATCGTGAAACGTAATATAGCCTAAAGACTACAACTAATATAGCTTCTAAATACAGTTTTGCTTAGCCACTAGTCTCTGGAAACAAGCATTTATTTTGTTGTTTAAGATGCATTTTCTATGCTTTTGCCACTTTTATTTTACTTCAGTAGGGAAAGATGATAAGTTCTGTTAAAATATCTTCTCTTTTGCTGTCGATGATGGATATGAAATGATTACGTCACTTAAGGCTTGAATCATCAGAGGACTTTTCTCTCCTACAGCTTCCCATAAGTGAGTCAAGACATATACTATGTACTTGATCAAAAAGCAGCAAGTCTGACATATGAAGGTCAGACCAGAGAGGGCAGTAACAGAAGGGAAATGATCTTGCATTACTTTATCATGGAAAAAAGGGAGCAGTAAAGTTTAAATGAGAAAAAAAAAACAAGATTCAAGATAAACTTCATTAATAATAGCTATAATAGCAAGCCAGTGAATGTCATATATTGTCTTATATTAAAAGTTATTCTCTTTACAATATTCACAGAAGACTTATATTAAATCTATTACTAGAATGTAAAGCACAGAGGAATATGAAAAACTGCATGGGATACATTGCTGAATTTGCACAAAATTTTGTTTTAGGGGGGCTTTTGTTTAGGCCTGAACAGCATACTTTTTTTTTTTTGCTGTTGACCAAAAAAATAGCATGACCAAATGATCTGAAAAAAAAAAAAGTTTTTATAGGAGTCTCAGAAAGGGGACTCATAAAACATGCATATTTATCCTGGGAATATTCTATGTGAATTACTTAGTGGTGCAATGAACTGGATAAGCCATAAGTCAAGAGAGGGCACTGCAATTAATCTCCTCCCTCTTTTCCTGATTTGCAATGACAAACAGTGAACTGGAAAGGGAATGCGTTGAGGTCCCAATTAGAGAACAGTGGTTGATGTGAAAACCATGGAAAAAGGAGCCTGAACTTGTCCTTGCAGACATATGGCTCTCAATAAAAAAATAAAAAAAAAAGGGAAGGCAGCTCTCTGACAGATTACTCTGTAGTCAGCAGAAGTGAAGCACACAAATCACCTCCTCATTTTATATATCTGCACCAGACAATATTGCAGAGAGCTGTATCAGAAGCTGCACAAGTGGAGAGAAAAACAAAATGGCTTGAATATAAAATATCCAACAGATAATTGCAAACAATAAAAAGTTACAGTCAGGCCAAGCTGCAGAAGAAGGTCAGTGTACTCCACATGGAAATGGTCGAATTAGTTACACTGAAATGTTGACAGAAAACATAGCAGTTTTGTTCTGTTCTGTTTTCTCCAATTAATTTTGGATATTAAAAAAAAAAGAAAAATAGAAAAAAAGGAATATTAGTTAAAAATCCCAAATTCTAATTTTTGGTCAAGATGGAAGCAAGAAGGAAGCTAATACTCTTTCTTTCCCTCATTATTTCAGTGTCAAATTCTAATTTCAGTCCATTCAGGTGTAGTCCTAACTGTACTGCCGTCAAGAACCTTCACGAGCAACCTCAACATTGCTGTCACAAGCCATCCTACTGCTAGAAAAATACTGCATTGTGATGTTAAACCAGATTAGAGTGCACATGGGAGCAAGAGACATCATAGTGACTTGATCTCATGATTTTCCTGTGGAAAATCACTTTATGTTCTTGTGAGAATCCTTCTTTGTTTTTTTTGCTCAAAGCTTGCTTCCTGAGGTTTTTCTTGTGATAAGACTGAGTGATTTGTCAAGGAGGCAACTGATGGGTGTGTGTGACAATCTATATCGCTTTGGGAACATTTGAAAGCCCCTTCCCCCAGAGCTGCTTGCTCTGTAGAAGAGCAGATGAGAGTGCTCAAGAGCGTTTACTGGCGGAAGATCTGGCCTGTAACTAAAAGCTCCAGCTAGTTGTGGGAAAATTGGGGAACAATACCATCGTGTTCTGTGAGAAACAGGATGCAGATGGGCATCCCTGCACCCTCTTATCTGCTGGCAAGGCCCGGAAGATGGGAACAAAGGAGTTTCTGCTGAGATCCCAGAGCCAGAAGCTGCCACTCAAAGGAGAGCTGACTCAACCACTTTGGATTTGAGCTGTCACTCCAAAGACAGCTGACTCGACCACTCTGAAACTATTGAAAAGGGGCCATCATCACCATGGTTGTCCCTTGTCGTCGTTGTCAACAGAACAACTCTGCCTGACGACCCACCGCTACTGAAGATCAAAGACTGAACCATGAACCTCGCTGTATCCATGGTGGTAACTATCTCCCTCTTGCTGCCTATAAAGACCCCTTGCTTCTTCTTTTCTATCGCCCTCCTTCCCTTCCCCATTACCCTAATTCATAAGTGTCTGTCCTCCCCTTCCCCATTTCCCTGATTAAGATTTGTAATAAACTGGTCAGACCAACATTTGAACCGTTGCTTCTTAGTCTCATGCCGAGTATATAGATAATAAAAGAACCTCCTCTCCCTCCCATAAATTGGAGTGAGACAGTTCTGTATTAAGACATGCAATATTTTTCCCCTTAAAATTAGGGGGCTGAATCTCTCCAGAACATTTTTGGTTCTTTTCTATTTTACTCTTCCACAATGCAACAAATAAAAAAAAAAGAAAAAAAAGAAAAGAAAGATGATCATATATAAATACACCAGAGATTTAGTTAAACAAATAATCACTGGTGAAATGCAAAACAAGGAAGCAGAATTCTTTTCACCTTGTGCTTTTAAAAGCGTTTTTTTTAAGCTCTGTGTCTGATGATTTTTATAAGTTTTCTTCAGTGAATAAGCAAAATCTTACCTTTCTTAAGCTCTCAACAAGCCTCTTACATAATTTATGTCTGTAATATACTCAGTAAGCACTTTTCTTACGAACAAGGCAGTTAATGAAAATAAGCTTTTAAAAGCTTTCTCACAGTGTGCTGTGGAAGTCAAGCAAACTTTCAGAGTGAACTAACGCTTCTGTAAAAAATAATTAATATAAAATCTACTTCACTAGTGATAATAGATATATTTTTTTTAAGTTAACTACTCATGCTTGCTTTCTGAATTAACGTCAACACAGTAGTACCAAACAAAGTAAGAGAAAACGGTGAAGATATTGACTGTCTTAGAGAGCTTCAAAATGCTCCTACTTAGATTTAAAAGCATTGCTGTAGCCTGCAGTGAGGATAGAAATACATTTTCGGTGACATAAACCTTCCTATCATGACATTAATTATGAAAATGGAAATGACATTGTTAAAATCAGCTAAGCAAAAACCTCTCACTAGCAGACATACTAAGACAAGACGAAAGGTCTTTAAGAATATCTTTAAGATCTGGCAGAAATAATTTGAGAAAAATCTAAGCTTTTAGGTTATCTGAAACATCAGCCCCATAAGTCATCATTTTCTTTCTTATTATTATACTTGTTCTTTTTCCCCATTTCTAGTATTACTTCTACTCCTGCTGCTAGTAGTTTGACACAGTTAACATAACGAAGTACTTTGAATTTTTACCTGGCTCAGCAGGTAAATTTGGTAAACAATTTCCTCAAGCCTGTTAGTACATTACTCTGACCAGAAGGTGCATTTGATTTTTCAGATGGCATTTTGTTGGTGAGAAGGTGATTCTATGGCTGAGAGACAAAAATTGTAGTTTCAGGTAAGGAAGCTTTTGTACCTGTTCATGCAGAAGTAGATTATAAGCTGTAAATATCACATTAGTGTTTCAGCCTGAAGATGATGGAGAATTCTTTCAAAAGCTGGTACATTCTGATCACAGTTAATGTAAGTCTTTTCGTCAAGGACAATTTCACAGGGGATGCAAGCTTTGGATGAAATTCTGAAAATTTACCTGTTGAATAACAATACTAAGAATAAACTGAGGACAAGCAGAGGTGTCACACAACAATCTACATACATGCCTTGACTGCTATAACTCGCTGCGGGACATTCACAGACGAAAACAAAAAGCCACGATGATTCACAGCGGTGACTCAAAGCATAATATAAAGCACAGTATTTTCTGTGGCATCAAATATAGTTTTCAGAACATTGAACTCCCAGTATTATTCACACAAAGCTGGAAACTCAACTTTCTGAGGGTTTTTGAAAGATTTAACTACTCTATTTTCAAAGCAAGGCCTAAAGTTTGCTGTATGATACAATCTGGCAATAAAAGCAATATGTTACAAACCATAACTCAGAGTTGTCTCAAATAAGCTGTAAAACTTTTTCTTGAGCGTTCATCAGAACATAACCTAACAGGGTGTGGAAAATTACTGATATTACTTCAGATGTCTATTTTAGAACACAAATTTCTTCTTAAACTTGGAAAAAATCTATGTTTATATATGTATAATCAATGGATATTAAGCTGTTATAATCACAAAAGAACAAGAGAGTTAGGCAAAGTAGACTAAGATAAAAAGGAGAATAAATGGAAGGCTTACCCATATGCCAGGCTCACCTACAGCAAACACCAGAAGAGGGAATCTCCAGATGAGACCCCTCCCCACTCATAGCCAGCTCTTAAATAGGTCTAGGAGGGCTGGAGCCTGGCTCCACCCCTTCCGGCAGCACAGGGGAATTGCCTTCAGCTGTGCTCCTCTGGCTGATTCATGGCTCCCCTCAGGTGATCAATCAGAGGTTCAGGTCGTGACTCCGCAGTTCCCATATATATATATATATATATATATATATATATATATATATATGGGAATATATATATATATATATATAGTGATATATACTGTACTATATATATAGTATATATATATAAAGTGATTTATATATTTATATATATATATAAATAAATATATAAATCATGACACATTTTAATCCTACAAATTGTAAATTTGACAATCTTTTGCATGAACTAGGTAGTTAGATTTAAGGCTACAAAGTCTGATAAACCTAAGCTTTAACAATATACATGAACACCTGTCCATGGGAGTCTACTGGATGAACAGAGGGATCCCATCATAGCTGGCTCTCTAAAACAGCAGTATTCTGAAACAGCTGTCAGAATAAAGAATGTTGTCACCAGTTTCCCAGACTAATTCTGTATTATATTCTTTATTATCTTCTGTTACTACCTTTATTTTCCCGAGTGCATCTCACTATGCAAATAGGTGGTGAGAGACATCAAAACCCTCGCAAGACTGGCGCTAAAATATCTTCTTTCCCATCTATGAATCAGTATGAAAATCATAGAATCATAAAGGTTAGAAAAGATCACTAAGACTGTCTAGTTCAACAGTTAACACATCATATCCTACTAAAGAGCCCCTAAGTCTCCCTAAGTCTACACATTTCTTAAAAACCTCTGGGAATGGTGACTTAACCACTTCCCCAAGAAGTCTGTTATAGTGCTTCACCACTCCTTCTGAAAAGAACTTTTTCTTAATATCCAACTTGAACCTCACCAGGTACAACTGAAGGCTATTCCATTTCAACCTATTGCTGTTACTTGGAAGAAGAGGCGGACCTCCAACTCTTCACAACCTCCTTTCAGGTAGTTGTAGAGTGTGATAGGGTCTCCCTTGAGCCACCTCTTCTCTAGACTAAACAATCCCAGGTTGACCTTTTCTATGGTCACCATAAATAATGTCAACCAAGATAAAACAGGTAGCTGCAATGGGAAAAATTTAGAAAAGCAGAAGGTTACTAAAAAGTTTTGCAGAAAGTTACTTTTTTTCACAGTAAGCAAGCTAAACTGGAATGAATTAAATCTTAAAGTTCTTCTTTAGACTACGTTCTTCTTGTCTTCAGGATTTATCATGGAGAGGGAGGTATAAATTTTGACCACAGTTGTTTTAAAGAGGGTCCAAAGATATTCTATGGAAGAACTGGAAGATGTGCAGTAAAATATATTTGGAATTCCATGGACTTGAGGTCCTGGCATAATTCTAATTTCTAAACCATAATTGGTTTAAAATCTGAGGACCTCATAAATGTTACTCTCTATAGAATATAACATTATCTCTGCTTATAGTTTCCTTTAGCAGCAATGCAAGCACTTCAATATCATATACTAACTCATAACATACATCAGCTTACTGTACTCCATTTAGTCAGTTCAAGAAACTATATTTGAAGCATCCCAGATATCCACTTGCTTTGAGACAGCATGCTTGAAGAAAGCAGCTATGTATAAAAAAATTCAGGAAAATGTTTTACCCACCTGATGCAGAGCTTGTCTTCCTACCCTACAGTCTTTTAGCGTTTATGATTGAGTTACAACTTTTAATGAACTATTCAGCTTCTATTGGCAACAATTTGGAGCTCAGTACTTTTAACATGCTGAAGATAGTAACTTTTTTTTCTGATAAGTTCCTGAGTTTAGAGAATGGCTGTGATTTACCCCATGAATTTTGTTTAATTCACAGAGAATTTTATATGTGAGTGGCAACAAAATTATCAAACAAATGGGAATATTCCTAACTATTCCTGGTTCTGCATCTGACTTAGTATGTTTTAGCAACATACATGATGTGTTGTCTCTAGTACTTTCCTTTGTATTGTAACAAGAAAATTCCTTGTTTAGTTCTAACAACAAACACTGAACAGAGTTGTGTTTTTATGCTTTACTCAAGAAAAAAACAAATATACTTTTACCTCCTCTGTAATTTTATTTTTTTACTCTAACCAAAGATGTACGAGAGCAAGCAAGTAAACACATCTATATTTTCCCTTCTTTGTAGCAAGACTTCTTTTGTTACACAACATTTAATTACACAGAACTCACTGATTAAAAGAAATCCTACTGTCTTATTTCTGTCACTTTGATACATTACCCCAATTTCACCAGAAGATTTCTCTTGGCTTACAGTTTTTGGTTACTGTTTTTATAAATACCTTCCTTAGGCAATTCATTCTGTTAGAAATGTGTATGACATTGAATTTTTTTCCCTTCTGACTAAAGTTGTTATGATTAATGGATCTGATCCTGCCCTACAAAGCAGATAAAAAAAGTCCTCTTTGGACTAGATTCACTGTAATATTATTCCAATTTTCTGCAGAAGTAACTCCATTACATGGAAACTGCTCGTGAAAAAGCTGCTGAAGGGAAGTACGTGAAGTAAGCAAAGGCCAAATCTTTTCACAGCGTTATTGCCACTTTCTGTGGCCCTCTGCTTTCCTTTTTGATGAATGCTCTTATTTCTTATTTTTTGTCTTGAGCAAATAACAATGTGTACTGTGTGGACATGTGCTATGGTTTAACTCTGGCATGCAACTCAGCACTGCCCTGCTCTCCTCAGGTGGGAGTGGGAGGAGAACTGGAAAGGTAGAAGTGTGAGAATTCAGAGGGAGAGAGAAAGGTAGTTTACTAGATAAAGCAAAAACTGAGCACACAAGAAAACCAAAATCATCATGTCTCTCTTTTCTTCTGCCTTACTTCAAATTTTACTGTTCAGGATGACTCTGAATGCAATGCAATATCTCTTTGGCCAGTGTAGATCACCTCTGTCTGTCCCCTTCCAGCTTCTTGTGAGCCTCCAGCTCCCTCTCTGGCAGGACAGAATGAGAAGCTGATGTGTTCTTGACTCTGTGTGACACTGCTGAGCAACAACTAAAGCATCAGCAAGTTATCAAATTGTTTTTCACCTAAATTCAAAATGTGGCATCATACCATTCTACTCTGAAGATAATAAACTCTACCCAAGCCCAAACCATGACAACATACCCTTTAAAAAGAAATAAACCAATTATTCCACTCTGGTGATAGAATATTGTGTAGAATTACCAAGATAACAGTCCATTTTGGCTATGACAGCCAATCCACAGATACTTGATTACACTTCTTCTTTAAAAAAAAAGAAAAAAAAAAACAAAAAAAGAAAAAAAAAGTTAGATTTAGCCTATTAAAAAAATGTTGTCTTTGAATGTTCATTTGTTTTTGTGAAGATTTTCACATGGCTATCTATCTCCTTTGTTCAATTATTTTTCTGCAATACTTACAGAATGATAGAATCTTAGAATACATTAGGTTTAGAGAGACTTAATGCTACAGGCTAGTGTCAATTTAGGGGTTTAAAATGAAATTTTAATAGATGTGACATGTAAACCGTCTTTTCAAAATAACATGAAAATATGTTTGGAACAATCTGATAAATACACTTGGTAGTTAAAGTGAATCATCAGGGTTCTGTTCAGACACACTTCGAGGCTTTTAGGGAGTGTAGGAAAAAAAATAAATTATTTCACATGAGGAATAAGGACAAAATAATTCCTGGGAAAGGATGTCATTTTGGCTTCCTTTGTGGTACTCAGCTCCATGCGGAGGAAGCTGTGGAATTTACCTTATAACTGCAATGGTTGAATTCATTTTCTAACTTGTTCAACTTAAGTAACTGTTTAACACCATGTAGCAGGTTGTTAGAGCTGTGCCTGCATACACACACACTGCATTCACTTATGAGTTTTCTGGGTGGTCCAGCAACTCCACTGGTACTTTTTGCACAGAGAAACAAATGCACTGACTTGAGACAACAGGACTAATTGAATTGCTCCCCATCTTCACATGAAAATATTTGCCTGACAATTGCAGACTTGCTGTGCCTAGACAAATTCCTACGCACTATCTGATTAGAGTTTATTGATTAGCAACCTGAGTGGAGTCTGGTCATCCTTATAATCTCTGTGTTGTTCCTGCTGCAAAGTAAGAAGAACTGTAAATAGATAGGGCACTTTCAAGTCAGTAGAAACTGATCCTGCAAATGCAGAAATGGTCACCTAGTGCAGTCTTTGGTGCGTACCTAAGATAGGAGATGTTTTGTGTATTTTTGAAGAAAATCTAGAACAATGTATCATTCAAATACTGGAGTTGTTACATGGGCTAGCCAGCAAGCTGAGTATATGGACTTAGTAGAACAGCATTTTGAGGAGTCTCAATATATGCAGCTGAAGGTTTTGTTTCTGTCAATCCCAGTTGCCAACCATCCTGCCCAGTATATCTGCTTGAGAAGGTAAACATTAATCTTTGCAGAGATCCAAATAGACATCATATATTTACATATTTACATATATATATATTTAACATAATATGTCTGTCAATGTGCAACATCCGGTACCTAAAATTTGGACTTCATCACAGTCTTGCTCAATGAGCCAGGAACTCCATAAAGTATTACCTTGATGGCTTTAGCTATGCAGGAAAGGGCAAAAATGGAGAATGATATTGGATAAGTGTTCTGAGAGCAAATTGCTGCAGTCGTATCTCTTGCTCCAACATCAAAGAGGTAAGCCTGTACACAATATGGAGGAGGTTATAAAGCAGAGAATTCATTTGCAATAAATACACCACGAGATGCCTGGCTGCCACTAGCCTCCTATCTACTGCCCTAGGCAACTGCTAATTTTCTTATGGATATGCTTAGAGACTGTTGCTGTAGTACAACAACAACATTCAAAGGGAAATGTTGATATTCTCATAAATTTTCTCTTTATTCAAGCCATTGTTTCAGTGATTCTTAACAATTATGTTTGTCTGGAGAGTTATGAC